AAATGTGCCAAAACATTTCTAACATTAACATAAACTGAGGGCTTTCTTCCTGAGCCGCTGGGAGTAAAGCTCCTCCATGGGTGGCAGCTCCGTCCTGGTGATGTTCTGTGCAGTTTTCACCACCCTCTGTAAAGCCTTACGATTAAGGGCGGTGCAGCTGCCGTACCAGGCCGTGATGCAGCCGTGTCCGTGATGGACACAGAGGAACCTGAAGCTGCTGACTCTCCACCGTAGTCCCATTGATGGCGATGGGGGCGTGTCCCTCTCCCTGCTGCTTCCTGTAGTCCACAATCAGCTCCTTGGTTTTGCTGACGTTGAGATGGAGGTTGTTATCCTGGCACCAAGATGTCAGGTTTTCGACCTCCTCTCTGTACGCCGTCTCTTCGCCGTCTGTGATCTGGCCGATGACGGTCGTGTCGTCAGCACGTAGGCCCGTACCAGTGTCTTGAAGTGGCTGCGCTTCCTCCTGGGCCACATCCAAAATTGAGAAGAAAGAGAACAGACACACCACAGCTGGGTGAGGCTGGTGAGGCTGGGGAAGATGAGTAAAACAACTCAAGAGTAAGAGTGGGTAACTCAAGAGTAAGACTGGGTATGTATACATTCACTCCGCAGCTGCTTATAATCAGCTCATCACAGGCGTTCTCTTTAACCTATTACATTCACCTCATTCTCCAGCAGCCAAACACCGAGCTGCAGCCAAACTTTAAAATGGTTCTCCTCTCTCCTGCAGTCAGCTGTGATTTCAGGTGTTCATGCTGCCGCCCGCCTCCTCCCCATCCACCTCCTCCCCATCCACCTCTTCTCCACCCACCTCCGTTCATCATATCCAGAGCCAGGAGAGCTAATCCAAAGACCTCATCACACCTCCTCTTCATCCCATCTCCTCATCAAATCCAGATCTTCATCATCATCACCAGTGTCTAGACCCCGGGGAGGTTCCCTATGCTCACGGCTGCATTTCCCCCTTTAGATATAAGATTTCAGGATCGGGGTCTAATCGCCAAAGACTTAACATTTATCATATGACATGTGTCAATAAATGTTCTTTAAACAAAATGAAGTCTCTCCTGATTTAACTGTCTGGACCCCATCCTCAACTTTTTTTCAAACCACAACATGCCTTCAGAGGGCTTTCCTGTTGATCATAATTGGTGGATCTTTTAATCTAATAATTGCAATCAATATTATATATATTACCTTTTAATCTATATAAATTGTATTTACATTTGTTGTCACTATTTTTTCCACCTAGTTCTACAATGCCAGCCATAAGAGGTATACATTTCTTATTTTTGTGAATTTCTATATAAAATGCTGATTTTCTACCTGAAAATGCTTATGTATTTTTAATTACATTTTCGTAGAGCTTTGACTTTTTCAGCTGAATAAATATTATAACTAGATGGTTTTGTTCAGCATTGCCAGCTTCACTTTTGAGCTTTATGTTGTGCCCAGCATTCTCCTGTGCTCTGAAATCAAAATGTGGATAAGCATAACACAACACTAAAATAAACACTACAATACAACTTGTTATTTGACACACACAAGGTTGTTCATTTGTGTGTATAAATATAAAACACAGGCTATATACATATATATATATATATATATATATATATATATATATATATATATATATATATATATATATATATATATATATATACATATACAAGTATAATTAATACAACTGTTAATTTGATTAGAGCTTTGACACATATATCTTTATTTATATATGTATAAGTATGACGACTTCCTCGGGCGATATCATGGTATAGCTAATTAATCTGGGTCAAAACGTGTTGTGCCCACATGCAAAGGTTGTAAACTCTGGTTTATCCCTGCGTGGTATTATAGTAATAGCAAACAGCAACGTTCAACTCCTTTAATGGTATATTGCAAGTGCAATAAGAAGCTACAGGGACGTTAATCTACGTCGGTAATATTAACTTTATTTAATACAAGATTTACGGTACAAGATTTAATCATACAGCCCATGTAGTATAATATTTTACAAATGATGAATTACAGCAAACATGTGCAATATATCCGTTATTACAGCTCCGTGGGCTGGCAGTAAGGCGATATGGGTCCGTTCTTATTGTGCATCCATGGGTCAAGATAAACGCATGTAGTGCTGAACACGTAACATGAACGTGCCGGGCGGCGCGGTCCCGTGGGTTAGATGCGCGTTCATAATGCAGAGGGAAATAACTCTCAGAATAACGTTATTAGCACATTTTTACAACTTGAGGAACGAATGTTTTTAATAAGGGCTATACAAGTGTTCATACTGGGTAGTTTATTTAGTTTAAAAAAAATTATCCAACGAGTTACAGACCACTCTTTCCCCATGTAAGTCAATGGGAAAAAGTGTTTCCGGGCCTGGCAACCAAAAGGAAGTGTAGTACCGCCGTTTGGCCAGCACGAATATTTTCATCAGAGTCCGGCGCACTTCCTGGGGGCTTGCTTCAGGCGAGCTTTTGAGACCTCCCCCGGCTGCAATCGGCTATTCTCGTCTAGTTTCGAGGCGAGCCGCAGCTCATCTCAAACAAGCCTGATAATTATGAAGAAGATGTAATAAATATTGTCATTGTGTCATTTTTATTTATAATAAATACATCCACCAACACAAATCTTCTTTTCTAATTTTCCATTAATGTGTTTACAATTTTAAAACCATTTAATCTTGTAGCATCAAGTCCGTGTATAGCTCCATTTCAATTGGTGTCTTTCATATGCGACTGTCATATGCGACTGTAAGCAGACTGCAATGCAATATTAAATAACGTCCCTCTCATAAAGTAAAGTTCTACCAAAATCCCTTCAAACATCTCCTAACACTACCCCTGGTTTTACTACATTAATAACATCTGTTTAAGGTATAAAGGCTTTTGCATCTAGGATTTTTTTTTTATTGCATTTGCTTAATTTTATTGAATTTTCTTTAAGCAACTTTTCTTTTTCTTTTTTTAAATGTGTCATGTTTTTTTTTTTTTAAATATACAGCCCAAAATGTTCTATCAGACTGGGGATTCAAACCCACGTCTCACATTGATCTGGATCTGGACTACTCTGACCACTGAGCTATGGCATTGAGATTGATTCGAAGTGAACCATTACTTTTTTTGCGCCCCTTGGAGGTGAGGGGTTTCCCCTTTAGGCTGGCAAGGACATGTCATCTTCAAAACATTAAAACTCTCAAAGAAAATGAAAACATAAAAAATCCTGTACCTTTGTGTATGTTTCTTTCTTTTTGTATTTCAAATTTGTATTGAATTTTCCATTCAGAACAAACACACATTGGCGGTACACTGCATAAACAAATCCCTCTCCCGTGGTCCAGGCATTGACATTAAAAGACATGGCAAGAAAATAAATAAATAAATCACAAAATAGAAAATTAGGTATATCAGCAATGGAAAATAAAAAGTGTGCAATTCTTGGTAAACATTCAAATGAAATAGAGTCTCTGTAGGCCTTTATGTGTGTCCAGAAAGTAATGCTCCCAAGGATTGTCCTCAGCATTTTCAATGCCTTTCATCCTAGTGAGCATAGCCTCATAGGATGATGTCTCCACCATAGCATTAACCCATGCATTCCTTCATATGTGGAGGCTTGTCTATTCTCCAATGCCTCAATCTAATTTTTGAAGCTGTAATCAAAGCAACCATTATAACAGAGAAAGCACTTTTCGAAACATGTGGCATCTGAGATCTGTCCCCCAACAGACACAAAACAGGAGTCAAGGGGATGACTGAGCCAGACCAGCTACTCAGGACTTCTACTACTTTAACCCAAAAAGGTCTAATCAATGCACATTCCTATATACAATGTAGGAAAGTCCCAACTTCTGTTTTACACTTCCAGCACAGGCGTTGGTGCTGCCGGATTTGGCACCCCCACTATAACTTTGTCCAGGGTGGTCGTACTGTCATCAAAATCACACTGGTGTTTGCTGTCCCCCTCTAGTTTGTGCACTGAAAAAAAAGCATTTGACTCTGGGCTCAGCAGGTGAAAAACTAAAGAGGGGCTTCCACATGTGGCAGACCAGGCGTTGGGGCTGCCGGATTTGGCACCCCCACTATAACTTTGTCCAAGATAGTCGTACTGTCACCAAAATCACACAGGTGTTTGCTGTGCCCCTCTAGTTTGTGCACACAAAAAGTACTCTGTACTCTGTACTCTTGTTGACTCTACTCTTGTTGACTTGTTGACTTTTTACTCATGTCATGTTCTGTCCTCCATAGCTGTGTGCTCGTTATGTGCATAAAGGTACAAATTCACTCAAAATCACATCACAGCCAGACCTTTAGTTGAGCGTTTATTGTTTTACCAACACATTGGTGGTTCAGAGGTCTATGCATTGGTTTATCATGCAGGTGCCTAAGGTTCAACACCCAGGGGAGGAACATCATTTGTCTTCTAGTATGCTGATGTTAAATCCGGAGAAATTGTCCCCACCACTTTTTCTAACAACGCCCATGCTTTAAGTACCATTTTGCAGAATGGCCCATTTAAGCACCATATATTTGTATTATCATTATACATTATCACTTGTTGCACTTATTGTTTTTTTTTAATTTATTTGTATGCTATTGAGTAACTTAACCTATAATAATAACCTATCATTGTATTAGTTAATTTATATTTTGTATTAATAATCTTAAACCTTAAAGTAGTAAGTGATTACATCTGTTTAAAAAAATGTAGTGGAGTAAAAAGTAGAACATTTGCCTCCAAAATGTAGTGGAGTGAATTTTTAAAGTAGCATAATGTGTAAATACTCAAGTAAAGTACAAGTACATCGATGTTTTACTTAAGTACATTAAGTACAGTACTTGAGTAAATGTACTTCGTTACATTCCACCACTGCTAACAACTGAAAATACGAATGGAGTTTTCTTGTCTTTATTAGCCCTCTCTAATGACTGACAGGGGCGGCAGGTTGCCTTGGAAACATGCATACAGCAGCAGGTAGCTGAAGAGGAGCGAGTGTTCTGTTTCTTTTAGCTAACTGACTTTACCTATTTAGAAGATTATTTTTTACTTTGTGTAGTTGTGCTGTGTTTTGTCAAAGCTTAACAGCTGAATTGTTTGTCAAGTCAGTAAACTGGTCTCTTTTTTAAATGCCAAATAACGTTGCCGCATAATGAGAAAGGTAAGTGCAAACCTTTTTTAGCTAGCTAGTTAGTAACGCTAGCTAACTTATATTAACGCTAGCGACGTGATAATGCTACGTAACAGCAACTAAAATAAAGTATACAAAGTACAGTTACAGGAACTTTTTGTTTACCTAACGTGTTTTCAATTGTTCTAATGTCACAACTAACCATTTGTTAAGTTTGCTGGTTTTTATTTGTTTTCACACAGGCGTCAACGGTTCAGAAGGTAGTTTTACCTGGTGCTAAGTCAACCAAAGCAGCAAGCAAGAAAAAGGTTGGTGCATTTCATACTGAGCAACCTCCAGAAAGTGACAGTTCTGAATTAGGCATTTGGCTGCAGTGGGAATACATATGAGAAACACATGTGTGCTATTGCAACCTAAAGCAATTTGTAATTAACCAAGACTTAAATCTATTTTGCATGTCACATTACAGGATGAGGACGAGGATCCGGGCGATGGATGGGACGAGTGGGCCCAAGGGAAAGCTCTTATTAAGCCCCCCGATCAACTGGAGCTCTCTGAGGCTGTAAGAGATCTCCATTGCTCAACTTTAGGAAAGCCATATTGGCTGTGTTAAGGGAATTGGCAGTGGCTTTACTCAGGGCTGCCAACTCTCACGCATTGAGCGTGAGAGTCACGCAATTAACACATATCTCACGCACTCACGCCACACATGCCTTTCCTCACGCTAAGTTTTCGTTCACAACAAATGTATATAAATATAAAAATAAAGTGAAGGAACAGCAAACCGAGCGGTCTACGAAATGAGACGGTCAGGCTTACGGAGGACTTCCTGTTTGCGTCACCTGACACCCGCGGTCCGTAGCACTGCCGCCTAGCAACCTGGACAGCGTCACGCATTGTGATTGGCTGTACGGTATTTGCACACTGATTGGATGTAACGAGGGTATACCGGGGGTCTGAGCAAAGACGAAGGAGAAGGAGGATGAGAAGAATAAGAGAAGGTAAGGAGAATATATTATAAGATATTTTCGCGCCACAGGTAAAGTAAAAATATTTTCTTTTGTTCTTTTTTAATTAATTAAAGTTAATGCTAACAAGTGCCAGTATAGCCCTAATAATTACATAAAGAAAAAGAAAATCTGTTTAAAGTTGTGTTTCATATGGGTGTTGAGAGATGTATCCTTAAATTCATTTTGCTCTCAAAGTGCACCAGATTGATGCATTTAACTTCAATATTTAAAAAAAAAATCTTCCCGGGGGAGCATGCCCCCGGACCCCCCTAGAGGAGGTGAGGACCACCCCCACTTATAAAATAGCACTTTACCCCTGCCTATATGCCATTTTATATGCTGTGAGCTGATTATCGAGCCTTCATTGTAAGAGTCGCGGGTACACTGTGTATGTGCGTACTCCACTGTAGCGCCCGGTGGTTCACCAAAAAAAAAAAATCTCACTCCAAGCTGAACTCAAATGTTGGCAGCCCTGCTTTACTGCTATTGCTTAATTCCGTTTTTTACAACATCCATTTTTTGGTTCTTATATTTGCAGTTAAAACCTTTCGGAAATAAGTCGGTTGTGTGTAACCTGTGCTGTTGTGTTCTCTCCTTTATCGATAATGATATCTTCAGGAGCTGAAAGAGGAAATCCCAAGGATCCTGACTGCAAACAACCCACATGCCCCCCAAAATATTGTGCGCTACAGCTTTAAGGTAATAAAGTTATATACAGGCCAGAGTTCCCGTTAGAAAAAATGTGTGCCGGTCACCATGTCCGTTAGGATTTAAATCTTCCGGACAAATTCGAAATTTCCCGGTCAAAGGTCTTCTTTGTTATTGAGCTTTAAAACAAATTGATAACAACTCTATATTAAGGATGAAATAATCAAGGCATTCAGATGTATATTTATTGAAAAGTGACTTTTAATAAAAGTTCAAACAAGTTCTGTCAATATCGTGCGTAACGGAAAATAAATAAATATAGCCTATATTACGCAAGCCATAATATAATAAACAAAAAACCCATGTTATTCAGCTGTAGACCTACATATAGTCGGATAAAATAAAACATAATAATTATTATTTGTTCACAAACTAAAAGAGTATGGCCCGTCGTGAGCATTTTAATAAAGGCTCGCAGCTGCCGACTTGTTATCAAATAGCCTTTAAACAAATTGTAACACAAACTCTTTGACAAAACTAGAGCAAAATGCCTAGCTTATGATGTTTTAGCCTACTTTCTACGCTTTTTCAGACCTGTGAAGTGGGTAGCTGCGGATTCAAAATCAAAGGTCCCGAGTGTCTCTCCACAACTGGCAATGCGCATGAGCCGTGTGACCTTGTTCTCGCCAAGCCGACTTCGCTGCGCTGTTTTGATTCTGTTCTGTAGAGAGAATCCTCTCTCTGCCGGCACACTGGAGACAGGGATCACGCATGCTATCTTGGCCAGTGTGGCCCACTCAGGATAGATGTTGCCTAAATCTCTTACGAGGACTTCGCAAGCCGTTAAGAAATGCAAGCCTCCGTATCCGCGGAGCGCTGTCATCACGGGGATAGCATCTCTGTGGGCGCTTGTGGCATCAATGAGAGGGGCACTGGCTTGCGCCGAGTCATCCTCACTGGCAATCCCTTGGCCAAAATGACCAATAATGGTTTTGAGGGCTGGTTCAGCGTATATTTGAAGCGCTGAAGGGACGGAGAAATAATGAATTGTTTTATGTAACGCAAATAAACACATTTAAATAACTTGTGACACAATTTTAGGAAGGCCTATACTTACCACTTTGTGCATTTGGGTATCGGGATGGGTTCAGAAGGACGTCAAAGCTAGTGATAATACTCAGGGACTCTTCAGGAAAGCGGTTGTGTAAAGCAATCTATAAGATGTGTAATGTAGCGTACGCGGACATTACTGAAAGCCTGCCGGACCGGTCATCTGCGTGTGTCACATTCACATCCCTGTACATGCCATTTTGGCAATCTGCCTGAAACCTCTCTTCTTCGGGACCGGGGGAATCCCTCAACTGTGTGAGTGCCGCAACTGATGCGTGAACCATTGGTCGGATTGTGGCCAGATTGACATCCTCTTTCTGGAAAACCAAATTAAGTTTGGTCATACAGGTAGCACATCAGCCAGTGCGTGAGTCCAGGCGATAAAGCAGTATGGCTGGATTTGACCAAGGATGCCTTTTGCTTGGGCATTTCTCCTCCAACAGCCTCTTCATGTAGCTCCCATCACCAGAGCAGGCCAGTTTAGCTTGATACCTCCACTGCCCTGTGCAAGATAACCCAGCGGACAGCGCACTGCTGCTTTAGGCTTTTCACATCTTCATCCCCGAGCGCTGCTGTCATTTGACGGAGGCGATTGGTCCTGCTGGCTGAGTGCTTGTAAAATGAGTACACAGAGGATACTGTGCGCTTGTAAACTCCTACTTGGTCCACAGCTTTTGCAGCATCTATCTCGGCCAGCGCAACTCGGTGGGCAACACAGTGCACCTGAATGCAAAACGCACTCTCTCTCTTCAGAAGAGCACCAACTCCAGCACGTTTGCCCATCATTACACTAGCCCCGTCTGAGCCCAGGCCAATGACGCTTGACAGTTTCACATCCCTCTCGCGGAGCACCTCATCCACCTTGTCAAATATACACTGTGCTGTCCCGGAGTGCACGTCATAGTTTCCCAAAAAAACACGTCTCCACTTTTCCTTTAATTTGCAACTTGGCGTATATTATCAGCTTTTTGTCCACAGTGATATTAACCGTCTCGTCAATGATTATTCCGATAAAGTCACTCTTCTTTAGTTTTTCGTCCAGCTGCTTAATCAGGACTTCATCTATGGCCTTTTCCATGTCATCAACGGAATCACCGTGCCGGTAAATTCCATCACCTGTGACAAAATCAGGAGCCTTCACTTCTCGTAGTAGCTCAGTCAACCCTGCATACTGATTACCTGCAATGTCGTTTTTAGCCATGTAAAACACGACTTTTAGCTGAGAACATAGCTTCATGTTGGAAGCTTCATTCGCCCTCTCGCAGTGGCCTTTCATTGCGGTTTGTTGTGGTATTGTGTTCACTGACAAAATGTGCTCATTGCTCTGACTGTGTTCAATAAGCGCAGAGGGTTCTCATATTTGTTGCTCCTTTGGTGAACCCGTTCTTTCTCCCCGACTTCTCGCAGTGTGAGCAGAACAGAATTTCTTCCCCATCTATAATGTCGCACCTCAGCCAGGTGAATGTATCTTTCCATCGGGTCTGAACGCGCGGGATCTTTGTTTTTTTCTGTCCGGGGCCAAGGCATCTACGGTCTCATTGACAGCAGGCGGTATCGCCATCTCATTGTCGGTATTATCATCATTAGACCTGCTTGGTTTAAAGAAATAATTTTTAAGCTTAGCTTGTTTTGCCATGTCCGATTTTTCTCATCTCTCTGTCGTCCTGTTGTTATTGTGCGCCCACTTTATCTTACTGAATGAAAAAAATGTAACGGGTTCGTTCCACATTACGCCGTGGCCTACAGTGCGCTTGCCTATTAACACAAAAGATAATTTAATTTAATTTAAACAAACAAAAACAAAAATCTATTTATTGTTTATTTGAATACACTTTATATTGCGCTAAGGGCAACATATTTTTACCGGACATGTTGACCGGAGAGATTTAGATTTGCCGGACTTCGGCATATTTTACCGGTCATTGTCCGGTAATTACCGGCTAACGGGAACTCTGATACCGTTTATTTACTGTCTTTTTCGGA